GAAACATGCAGACTCCAAATATACAGCAGCAGGCATCGTCAGGGTCGGGATCGAACCCACGATCTTCTGCACACCAGGCGAGGGAGTTAACATCTCCTAGCCACCATGATGATGATGAGAGAGAGAAAGAGACACGCAAACTACAAATATACAGCAGGCGTCAGGGTCGGGATCGAACCCACGACCTCCTGTATACCAGGCGAGGTAGTTAACATCTCCTAGCCACCGTGATGATGATGATGAGAGAGACTCAAAAACTCCAAATATACAGTAGGCGTCAGGGTCGGAATCGAACCCACGACCTCCTCCATACCAGGCGAGGTAGTTAACATCTCATAGCCACCGTGATGATGATGAGAGAGAGGGAGAGACACGCAAACTCCAAATATACAGCAGGTGTCAGGGTCGGGATCGAACCCACGACCTCCTGCGTACCAGGCGAGGGAGTTAACATCTCGCCAGAGGCTCCCTGTCCAGCGCCGCGCGCCAAAGCTTAAACTCGAGCCCGCGTCAAGCACAGCTTCCGCGCTGGACATTTCCAGTGGTGGGGATTAGCGCGGTTGGCGGCGCACGGTGCGACAGAAGTTCCACATACACACACACGTACAAACGCACGTTCAAATAACAGCAGAGAGCGGGCTCTCGCGGCTGCGACATTCATTCATCATTCCATCAGCAGCCCGGTGCCGAGTTATTATTCAGGATGATTCTGAATTATTCATAATTTTTCAGGAGGCCGAGTGTGTTACACATTGTCTGCAAGTATGCCCCCTTGCAGCGCTACAGCATATAAATAAAAAAGTTATATATATATTTTTTTCCCCTTTTGAAGCCTTTTCATGACCAATTGCAGCACCTCGCTCGAAGCCCATTAAAGCCACCACATTCACCCACCCCCCCGCACATCGCGTCTATGTGGGTCACGGCGAGCCCGGCAAATCATATGTTTTTTTTCCCCTTCGTAATATTCCACAAAAGGCTACTTTTGCTAAGCAGAACCCCTATTGTTCTTTGGGACACTTAACTGTCCGATGCTTTAGGTACTTTCAGAAGGGCACTCGCTATTTATTTATTGCTAAGCAGAACCCCTATTGTTCTTTGGGACACTTAACTGTCCGATGCTTTAGGTACTTTCAGAAGGGCACTCGCTATTTATTTATTTCACGACGGACGCCGCTTGTTCACTCGGGCGGGAGGGGGGAGGGGGGGGGAAGCCTCGCCGAGTCTCAAGACGATCGGGGGGGGGGGGGGGGGGGGGCGAGAGGGCGGAGGGGGCCGCTGACGACAACAGAAAGAAACGGCCACCCGGCTGCCGTTCTAAACGTCGCGATTAAGAGGGTCATAGCGTACGGCATTCTTATCTGAGAACTGTACGCAGAACCCCACTCTCTCTCTCTCTCTCGTGCTTCCCCCATTCCCTTTTCCAACTCGACTGCTATCCCCGCCCGCCCGCCCGTCCGCCCGTCCGCCCGTCCACCCCCTTTCGTCTTCCGCTTCCAAGGGGATTTAAAAGCCGTCCGCACAACAGGTGCCTGGATGGAGCGTGGCGGCGGGGGGTCTCGACCTCCAGAGGATGCTTCCTCAAAGCGGGGCAATGCAGAAAAAGCTGGGGCTCGACTCCCACCCCCCCCACCACCACCAACCCCAGCCTCTCTCGACGGACGCGACGTCTTTGAAAGCCGCTCTCGAATTTTTCGACGGCTCCACCAAACTTGACCCCTAACGTTTGTCGTGGGTTCAAATCTTGTAATCGAAAGCTAGTCCGCTTCCTGTTGTCCAATCAAATTCCAAATTTGGCGCACGTGCTCAGATCCGGTGACGATGCATGCCATCTTCTTTGGTTCTTTCGGTAAAGTCACCACGTAGAATGAGAATAAAATAATAAATTGATAAAATAACACAATAAAATTCTCGCGACGTTTCGGCCACAACACAAGCGGCCTTCATCAGACAGTCTCGTCCCTTCACCTGATGAAGGCCGCTTGTGTTGTGGCCGAAACGTCGTGAGAATTTTATTGCGTTATTTTATTTTATCAATTTATTATTTTATTCTCATTCTACGTGGTGGTGACTTTACCAAAAGAACCAAAGAAGATGAATCCTTGCAGTCACGAAAGCTTTAAATCGATGCATGCCAATTAATCAATTAAATGGCTCTTTTAAAGCAATTAACATTTTGTATGGGCGGCTTATTAATTAAATCTTTATTTGGGTGAGGTCAAAAACGCCGGGCTTCCCCAAACTCTGGAATGGCCTCGCCCAAGAGGCGGCCGCCACGTGACTCTCATCATCAAGACGTCGTCCACTTCCCCTTGTCCAATCGAGTTATTTACTTTGTGGTGCACTTTAAAATAAAACGGTTGTTTTAAAAAAAAAACCTTTTTTTAAGGAGTTTATTTGTTGCTGCTTTCGCTGGCAAAAGGAGACGTGGTGAAATAGTGCCGGTCGCTCGATATTTGGAGTTTCCTTGTCTCTCTCTCTCTCTCATCATCATCACGGTGGCTAGGAGATGTTAACTACCTCGCCTGGTGCACAGGAGGTCGTGGGATCGATCTGGACCCTGACGCCTGCTGCTGTATATTTGGAGTTTCCGTGTCTCTCTCTCATCATCATCTCGGTGGCTAGGAGATGTTAACTACCTCGCCTGGTATGCAGGAGGTCGTGGGAACGATCCGGACCCTGACCCCTGCTGCTGTATAATTGGAGTTTCCGTGTCTCTCTCTCTCTCATCATCATCACGGTGGCTAGGAGATGTTAACTACCTCGCCTGGTATACAGGAGGTCGTGGGATCGATCCGAACCCTGACCCCTGCTGCTGTATATTTGGAGTCTACGTGTCTCTCTCTATCTCTCATCATCATCTCGGTTGCTAGGAGATGTTAACTACCTCGCCTGGTACACAGGAGAGCGTGGGTTCGATCCCGACCCTGACGCCTGCTGTATATTTGGAGTTTGCGTGTCTCTCTCTCTCTCAAAGTGGTGAGATGTTAACTACCTCGCCTGGTATACAGGAGGTCGTGGGATCGATCCGGACCCTGACCCCTGCTGCTGTATATTTAGAGTTTGTGTGTGTCTCTCTCTCTCTCTCTCCCGGTCGTCGCGTGGAGCTTCCTCCGGGTCCCCCGGTTTTTTAATCTCCGCATTTAGAATCAACGTCGCCCGTTTCGAGTATTTGGCTGCGATAAAATGTCCACACGACGACAACGACGACGACGATGATGATGATGAGCAACTTTGTCGAGCTATCATTTGTGTGCAGGTCCCCACCTAAAATAATTAAAAAAAAAAACTTCTAGCTGCGTTTATATATTTTTCTTTGGGGGGGGGGGGGTTCCGGCAATACGAATTATCATTTTGCATGGCCGGCGTTTAGAGAGCTAAGTGAATGCGTTTTGTCGCCAGGGGCGAGAGGCACTGGTTGTGGTCTGCGAGAACGCCTGCATTGCCCGAGTGGTACACGGTGCGAAGAGTAAAAAGAGGATGAGGAGCTTGAAAAAAAAAGATGATGAAGAAGACAAAGAAGGAAGAAGAGGAAGGAAGAGGAAGAAGAAGAAAAAGATGACGAAGAAGAGGAAAAATTAGTATAAAAAAAATAAACCCCACTCCGTGATTACCCAACTGATCACCGACGCCTTTTACACGCATTGAAGCGCGCAAATCAAAAAAACAGCGGAACGGCACCCAGGCGAATAAATGACGTCAAAGGTGGAGGTGAACCTCGGCGGCGGGCGGGGAGCGCCCTCGCCAATCAAACGCGCGAGCGTCTTCGGAGGCGGCAGCGGCGAGCGAGCGACTCTCTCCAAAGTAAAATTACAAATAAAGCCGCCCTGACCGGAACCCTCACGCCACGCACGCACTCCTCCCCATGCCCCTCTCACCCCCACACCCCTTCCACTCTCACCCTTCTCACCACCTCTCTCTCCCCAACCACCATCTCCCCCGGATTACGTCTTCGGAAACCACGTCTCTCCCCTCTGGCCTCTCTGCACGTGAATTTCCACCGCCCCCCAACCCCGCCACCAATAGCTCACGCGGCCACACTCACTCCTCCAAGCCGACTCTAAAGCCACCGCCCCTAACCCAGTGTTCTTGAAATGCCATCATCGTCATCATCAACCCGGTGGTCTTCCGGTCAACACAGCAGCAGCAACTGACCCGTCCCACCCTCACTCCTCACCCTCCTCACTCTCGCTCCTCACCATCCTCACTCTCGCTCCCCACCCCATTCACCGGAGTGTAAGATGGCAACAGCCTTGACAAGGCCCACTTCTACGAGTGAGGAATCACGACACATGCCATCATCATCGACGTGACGAACATCGACCATCGATCTCCCGGTCTCCCGGTCTCCAGCGGGACAACTGACCCATCCTGCTCTCACTCTTCACCCATCCACCGGAGTGAATTAATGCAGCAGCCTTCACAAGCCCCACTGTGCCGAAGTGAGAAATCACGGCAAATGCCATCATCATCGACCCGGTGACCACTAAACATCAATCAACGATCTTCCCGTCTCCAAAGCAACAGCAACTGATTCATCCACCCTCACCCCTCAGCCATCCACCGAAGTGGAAGATGGTGGAAGCCTTGACAAGGCCCCACTGTGCCGGAGTGAGAAATCACGGCAAATGCCACCATTATCGACCCAGCGTCCAGGAAACATCGATCAACGATCTCCAGATTTCCAACACGACAACAACTGACCCAAACCACCCTCGCTCCTCACCCTCCCCACCCTCACTTCTCACCCATCCGCCGGAGTGAATTAATGCGGCAGCCTTCACAGGCCCCAACGTGCCGGAGTGAGAAATCACGGCATAATGCCGTCATCATCGAGCCGGCGACCACCGAACATCGATCAACGACCTCCTGGTCACCGACGCGACAGCGACTCGCTCGCCCCGTAACCCAAGCTCACTTCCTGCCTGCACACAGAGAGCCGTGCTCCTGCCTGCACGCGGGAGCTGTGGTGGCTGGGCGGGGGGCGGGGGCGGGCTCACCTTGTCCACCTTCCCCCGCGTGATCTCCTCCGGCAGGAACTTGTCCCCGATGGAGCGCAGGTCGCCCTGGGAAAAGCACGGAGGACAACACTGAGCCTGACGTTCGCCGTGTGTTGGCGTTCCACGTAGAGGCGGGCGGGCGGCCGGGCGACGGTTCGCAAACCATTTCACGGAGCGACAAGGCTTCGGCGTGGATACCGTGCAGGAAACATTTTAAATGTGTGGCGGGGGGGGGGGCATGTCAGCGCCACGATGTGCCCAGACAGACCGCACTGATGAACAACGTGAGAGACATGCCTTACTAACACAAGGTCACGCTCAATTGCACACAAAGTGCTTGCCACAAATGGTTCTCGTCAAGGGGCGTAAACCATCATCAAGCGAACTCCTGTCGTCAGCCTCGCAGCGGCGGCTTTTGGCTGAGCCGTCGAACAAAAGGCGGCGGTTAACGCATCGCGCGGCGCTTTCAGATGCGCTTCTGCGGGCCGTCTGGAACGCTCTTCCTTCCGATATTACCAAGCAACTGGAGCTATGGCACTTTGAAATCGTCATCTATCTTGACAAACTCACTTGTTCAGAATTGCTTTTTGTATTTAGTTTGTTGTCCTTCCCCCCCCCCCCCCGCCGCCCCCACCTCCGATTCGCGCGGTTGGCTACGTACGAATGCGAAAGAGGTTCAACATATTCCGGTTCGTTTGTGCGGCAAGCACTTTGTGCGTGCAACGAGCGCCACCTCGTCGCGCATATTCGTTCGGCAACCGGAAGCCACGAGCGCCGGACGGACACGGTCAGATCTCCTAGGTGGAAGTGAGTGCGCGCTAATCCTGACGAGCAGCCGAGAGGCAAAATACCATTTCTCGTTTCACCAGCGAAGGCTCACTGAGCTGTAGGGCCCTTTTTCAGAAACGTGGCCACAAATGAGAGCCCAACGAAGTACGCGTCTGGAAACACCCTTCCTTCCTTCCTTCCGATATTCGGAAGCAACTGGCGCTGTGCACTTTTAAATCGTCGAGATTGAAAATTCACTTCTCTCTAACTGCTTTCGTGTTTAGTTTGCTGTCATTCCCCCGCACCTCCGATTAGCACGGTTGGCTACGCATGGTGTGAAGGAAGTTTAATGTACATACAACACCACTAATACCGTGAACACCACATCCACATCTACTATCACCATCATCTCACCACCGCCACTACTACCACCGACACCCACACCACTACCACATCCACTATGCCCGAACCTCCGATTAGCAACGGTTGGCTACGTACGGCGCGAAAGAAGTTCAACGTACGTACAACACATGCATACAATGTGCGGGAAAGGGGGAGGGGGGGGAGGCTTGCGCTTACATTGAGGGCCGCTTTGACGATGGCGTCCGTGTCCACGCCGGGGGATAGCCCCTTACATTCTTCGATCCCCTTCTCCGACAGGTGCCTGCGGGCGAGACACCGGCGGCAGCGCGCGGTGGGGCGGTGGGGGAGAGACGCGGAGGTCAGCCGCGGCTCGCGCCCGCGCGACGGTTCGCGAGCGCCGGGGGCGATGGCAGCGCCGGGGGAGAGCGCCAACATAGACCACCGCGGGAAGCGCCAACAGAACGAGCCCGCACACGGTGTCAAAACGCTGACGGGACGTCAGAGGCGTTCGTCGTTTTCGCTCCGTCCCTGTCGCCCCGGAGCGGTCTCATCGAAGATCCCGCGGCGGTGTTCCTTTGACACCGGAGCGGAAGGAACGAATCACATTCGAAAAAGACCCGGAGAAGTGAAGGAGTCGGAACGGTTCTGTTTGAAAGCGAGAGGGAATACGTTGCCGACCCGTCTCCTTCGCTCGTTTGCGCTGGGTCGTACGCATGCCCGAATGTACGAATGTTGAACTTCTTTCGGCACCGTATGTAGCCAACCGTGCTAATCGGAGGTGCGGGGGACGGACAACAAACTAATAACCAAAAGCAGTTTTAAAGGCTAATCTAGAAAGACCATGCAAGGAAATTAAAGACCCCTGTACCGACACTCACTCAACTATGGTTTTGTATTTCCATGTCATGCCCATAGCAAATAGAAAAAAAAACATTGCTGGAACTGAATTTCCAACCAGCCACAAGAAGAATTTCTCAACAGCCTATTTAAATTCCCAACTTGATTTAAAATACCCATTTACTTGCACCTGTTTACCATGCTAACACCGGATTTTTTTATGGAAATTCCTCGTATGCTGCAAAGTGCTACTCCTGAGCGACTACAGATGAATGTCGATGCGCCTGCACTCTGTTATAAATTGCGCTGTATTCCTTCTTATGATTCGTTGTTCTCTATGCTAACGAACGTGACGTTTCTTACGAGGCACTACTCCGTGGCTCTCTCTTGCAAATGCAGCCATCGGCTGAATGTTACTCACCCACGTCATGAAATTAAACCGAACGATGGCCACCCCCTTTCCAAAAGAGAATCAATCTCGACCAATTCTCACGTGGCTAACGGAACGGCGTCCTGAAATGAAAGGCGCTTTGAGGAATGACAACCCTATGAATGTGGTTTCATTGCAAATTAAGCGTGCACTTGCGCGTCCTCGGCACGTACGGCGTGCCCGAATGTGATCCTGTTGTTTAGCGCCAATTATCGCAACGTGGTTATTTAGAGTGTCGGCGCGGACACGTTGAACGTGGCACGGAATTGCACGAAACTTGTGGAAAAACATTCGCTCAGCAGTCAGCACAAAGGAGACATCAATGCCATCCCCCACACCATTAACACTGCACCAGGGGAATGCAGGAGAGGGGAGCAAATTAAATGAAAAAAGCTAGATCCTTGACTTCAAAGCCGAAAAAAAAGAAAGCATTTCAGACCCAAATATGTCTCGCTGAAGCACTAAATTGACACTTAATAATTACAAGTGTAATTAACAACAGTCTATAGCACTGCTTCATTTAAGATGCATTTAAAAACCCCCACTTAACCCTTCAACGTTCGGAGACGCCTGCAAGTTGCGGGGTGGGTGGGTGGATGTCCCCGTTCAGCGCTGAATCTCGGAACGCGCGGGCGGGTTCAGCGTTAAATTAATTTCGAGAGGCGTAAGTAGCAGCGCTGTTGTTTTTAAAAGACGTCGTTACTCACCGCAGGGAACCGCAGTGACACGACCGACGCACTCTACGATAGCCGGAGCCAAAACTGTGCCGCACGCCCTCCCGTCATGGACTTTTACTTCCGATTACATGGGCGTCATCGGAATGGAATGGGAAGAAAAACTGATGACGTACATATTCTTGGTTCTTTCGGTAAAGTCACCACGTAGAAGGGAAACAATAAAATAATAAAAATATAAAACGATAAAATTATCACGACGTTTCGACTGCAACACAAGCAATCATCATCAGGTGTGAAAACCACAGCAATATATATTTTTTTATTTTATTGTTTCCCTTATACGTGACTTTACCGAATGAACCAAGAATATGAATCCCTGCAGTCACGAAAGCTTTAAATCTAAATTTGATGACGTACAGTTACGTATGTCATCGGAAAGGGTTAAAATGTTAATATATGAAGGTGCTGATCAAGTGTGTTGTTGCTCGTGACAAAACTCGGCACCGGCACATTTTGTCATAGGCCTCACTTCCTCTACTTACGAAGATTCGACTTACAAACTTTCAGAGACGAACAAACCTGTCCGCATGTCGAATTGCCTGCCACTTTCGCAATAGTTGTCGGAGGTGCAATCTACATCTGCGGAACGTGAAGAACCAGTGACATCTACATCTACGGGAGATTACAGAACTTCAAAAGCGAGTTCCCCGTGTTTAGTGTACATGCCGTACAACACGTTCGGAATCGACTGGAGTAAAGTTCTCACGAACAAATTGACATACGAACAGACCTCTGGAACCTAACTCGTTCGTAAGTAGAAAAGTAAAGATGGGTTCCTTGCCAAATGAGTGTGCAAAAGCGCTCACATGCCACTTAACAGCTCTCAGCCATGAGTGAAAGCGCTGCAAAATGTATCCCTTGATTTACAAAAGGGATGCGTTCTCATGAAAAAAAATCACGGTCGTCGAACAAAATATCGTAAAAATCTCAACGGGTATTCCCATGAATTTAACCATAAAATTGAGGGATGCGTTGCGGGCAGTCATTTCAACTCTACCCCTAACATTCTCAAAAATATACACCACCGAGGTCACTTCTCACAATACAAAAAAACTAATAAAGAACATGAATATTAAAACGATTGAATAAAAATTCATTTGAAAGTAAAATAACTTAAAGTTTTTCAGAGAACTCAGCGAAAGATCTGCTGCATGTTGGAATGACTGGCGAGGTGACGTGGAGGCATTGATGTGGCACTGTCAGCAGTGGTGTAGCAACTACATTATCAGTGGTGTAGTAACTACATTATCAGTGACGTAGTAACTACATTATCAGTGGTGTAGTAACTACATTATCAGTGGTGTAGTAACTACATTATCAGTGGTGTAGTAACTACATTATCAGTGGTGTAGTGACTACATTATCAGTGGTGTAGTGACTACATTATCAGTGGTGTAGTAACTACATTATCAGTGGTGTAGTAACTACATTATCAGTGGTGTAGTAACTACATTATCAGTGGCGTAGTAACTACATTATCAGTGGTGTAGTAACTACATTATCAGTAGTGTAGTAACTACATTATCAGTGGTGTAGTAACTACATTATCAGTGGTGTAGTAACTACATTATCAGTGGTGTAGTAACTACATTATCAGTGGTGTAGTAACTACATTATCAGTGGTGTAGTGACTACATTATCAGTGGTGTAGTAACTACATTATCAGTGGTGTAGTAACTACATTATCAGTGGTGTAGTAACTACATTATCAGTGGTGTAGTAACTACATTATCAGTGGTGTAGTAACTACATTATCAGTGGTGTAGTAACTACATTATCAGTGGTGTAGTAACTACATTATCAGTGGTGTAGTGACTACATTATCAGTGGTGTAGTAACTACATTATCAGTGACGTAGTAACTACATTATCAGTGGTGTAGTAACTACATTATCAGTGGTGTAGTAACTACATTATCAGTGGTGTAGTAACTACATTATCAGTGGTGTAGTAACGACATTATCAGTTATGTAGTAACTACATTATCAGTTATGTAGTAACTACATTATCAGTGGTGTAGTAACTACATTATCAGTGGTGTAGTGACTACATTATCAGTGGCGTAGTGACTACATTATCAGCGGTGTAGTAACTACATTATCAGTGGTGTAGTAACTACATTATCAGTGGTGTAGTGACTACATTATCAGTGGCGTAGTAACTACATTATCAGTGGTGTAGTAACTACATTATCAGTTATGTAGTAACTACATTATCAGTGGTGTAGTAACTACATTATCAGTTATGTAGTAACTACATTATCAGTGGTGTAGTGACTACATTATCAGTGGCGTAGTGACTACATTATCAGCGGTGTAGTAACTACATTATCAGTGGTGTAGTAACTACATTATCAGTGACGTAGTAACTACATTATCAGTGGTGTAGTGACTATTTTATCAGTGACGTAGTAACTACATTATCAGTGACGTAGTGACTACATTATCAGTGACGTAGTAACTACATTATCAGTGGTGTAGTAACTACATTATCAGTGGTGTAGTAACTACATTATCAGTGGCGTAGTGACTACATTACCAGTGACGTAGTAACTACATTATCAGTGGTGTAGTAACTACATTATCAGTGGTGTAGTGACTACATTATCAGTGGTGTAGTAACTACATTATCAGTGGTGTAGTAACTACATTATCAGTGGTGTAGTAACTACATTATCAGTGGTGTAGTAACTACATTATCAGTGGTGTAGTAACTACATTATCAGTGGTGTAGTAACTACATTATCAGTGGTGTAGTAGCTACATTATCAGTGGTGTAGTGACTACATTATCAGTGGTGTAGTAACTACATTATCAGTGACGTAGTAACTACATTATCAGTGGTGTAGTAACTACATTATCAGTGGTGTAGTAACTACATTATCAGTGGTGTAGTAACTACATTATCAGTGGTGTAGTAACGACATTATCAGTGGCGTAGTAACTACATTATCAGTGGTGTAGTAACTACATTATCAGTGACGTAGTAACTACATTATCAGTGGTGTAGTGACTATTTTATCAGTGACGTAGTAACTACATTATCAGTGACGTAGTGACTACATTATCAGTGACGTAGTAACTACATTATCAGTGGTGTAGTAACTACATTATCAGTGGTGTAGTAACTACATTATCAGTGGCGTAGTGACTACATTACCAGTGGCGTAGTGACTACATTATCAGTGGTGTAGTAACTACATTATCAGTGGTGTAGTGACTACATTATCAGTGGTGTAGTAACTACATTATCAGTGACGTAGTAACTACATTATCAGTGGTGTAGTAACTACATTATC